GAGGAGGGAGGTAGGCGAAGAAGTGACGAGAGGAGGGGAAGGGCGAAGAGAAGGAGAAAGAGGTGGAAGAGAGAAGGTGAGAGAGTACAGAGGAGGGAAGGTGAGAGAGGACAGAGAGGGAAGGAAAGAGAGAGAGAGAGAGAGAGAGAGAGAGAGAGAGAGAGAGAGGGGAGAAAGTGAGGGAGTAGAGAGGAGTGAAGGTGAGAGGAGAGAAAGTGAGAGGAGAGTAGAGGGAGTATTGACGCCTATATAAAAATGTGTGCGGGTGAGTGGTGGTGGTGGTGACTGGGTGGTGGTGGTGATGATGGTAGTGGTGACTGGATGGTGTTGGTGGTGGTGACTGGATGGTGATGGTGATTGGGTGGTGGTGGTGATGGTGACTGGATGGTAATGTGACTGGATGGTAGTGGTGACTGGATGGTGATGGTGGTGGGTGACTGGATGGTGGTGGTGGTGACCGGATGGTGGTGGTGAGTGGAGATGATGGATGGTGGTGGTGACTGATGGTGGTGGTGCTGGATGGTGATGGTGATTGGATGGTGGTGGTGATTGATGGTGGTGGTGGTGGTGGACTGGATGGTAATGGTGACTGGATGGTAGTGGTGACTGGATGGTGATGGTGGTGGTGACTGGATGGTGGTAGCGATGGTGATGGTGATTGGATGGTGGTGGTGACTGGATGGTAGGTGGTGGTGACTGGATGGTGGTGGTGCTGGATGGTGGTGCTGGATGGTGATGGTGATTGGATGGTGGTGGATGACGGTGGTGGTGGTGGTGACTGGATGGTAATGGTGACTGGATGAAGGTGACTGGATGGTGATGGTGGTGGTGGACTGATGGTAGGTGCTGGAGCGGTGATGGTGATTGGATGGTGGTGGTGACTGGATGGTGGTGGTGGTGGTGACTGGATGGTGATGTGACTGGATGGTGATGGTGACTGGATGGTGATGGTGGTGGTGACTGGATGGTGATGGTGGTGGTGACTGGATGGTGGTGGTGACTGATTGGGTGGTGGTGGTGGTGGTGATATGATGGTAGATAACTGGATGGGGGTGGTGATTGATGGTGATGGTGGTGACTGGATGGTGGTGGTAGTGACTGGACGGGGTGGTAGTGACTGGACGGTGATGATGGTGATGGCGACTGAGCAGTGGTGATGATAATGAATAAGACACTACGGAACCACAAAAAGAGAGAGAGAGAGAGAGAGAGAGAGAGAGAGAGGTATACTCAAGGTTAATCACGTGAAATATGAGATAAAGGAGGAAGTACTTACGATGAAGGATGGTGAAGGAGAGGGAGACAGGGAGGGAGGGAGAGACGGAGGAAGGGAGGAGGAGAGGAGGAAGGGAGGGAGGGAGAGACGGAGGAAGGGAGAGGGAGAGACGGAGAGAGGAGGACAG